ATGTTGGCTAGGCTGGTCTTGAAAAACTCCTGACCTCAGGTGATCCCCACTCCACCTCGGTCTCCCCAAAGTGCTGGGACTACAGGTGTTGAGCCACCGCGGCCCAGCTCGGGATAGGTCTTTTTTTTTTTTTTTTTTTTGAGACGGAGTCCTTGCCTCTTGTCCCCAGGCTGGGCGCAGTGACCGGATTCTCGCTCACTGCAAAGCTCCCGGCCTCCCGGGTTTATGCCATTTTCTCTGCCTCAGGCCTCCCCGGAGGCTGACTACAGGGCCCGCCCCTCGCCCGGCTAGTTTTTATTTTTAGTTAGGAGACGGTTTCACCGTAGTTAGCCAGATGGTCTCGATCTCCTGACCTCGTGATCCGCCCGTCTCGGCCTCCCAAAGTGCTGGGATTACAGGCTTGAGCCACCGCGCCCGGCCAGGGATAGGTCTTAATACTTCCTTTCTATAAAGGAGGTCCAGATAAGTAAAATGATTTCCACCGGGTAACACAGCCCGCTAAACCTCTCCCACAGGGTTACACGTTGGTAAGAGGAGCCCGCCCCGTGAGAGAGACCGGACCAATCACGTTTGCTGTGAGGTCACTTTAGAGGCCTGAGATTGGTGTTCGTGTCCAAACGGACCCGATCTTTCTCAGTGGCTTGTGCAGCTGAGGGAGGTTCCGGGTGGCTTGCCCGGGGGCTGCCCAGCTCTCTGTCCTCTGTAGATCCCCTCGGGACTCAGCATTGGGTGGGTTAGCCGCGGAGACGCTCTGCCCTTCCTGCTGTGGCCAGTCAACCCCCCAAGCCCGTGCCCGTTGAGCCTGCAGCCCTTCCTCACCTCATCACTCCCCATCCCCCCAAGACATGGAAAGGCTGTGACAGCTGCCAGCCCTGCACATGCTCTTGTTTCAACAGCGGCGATTGCACATCACGTAGTCCCCACGTGACCTGTCGGGCCTAGGGCAAGCGCAAAGCTTTCGGAAACCCGAATCATTGTAACCTGGACTTCCTGCCTGTCTCTGAGGCTCCCGGGCTGTGCTTTAAGCTGGACAGGTCCTGCTTTACAGGGAAAAGGACCAAGGTCCAGAGAGGAAAGGGGCTTGTCCCAGGGTACGCAGCAAGTTAGTGACAGAGCCACACTCTTCCCTCAGGGCAGCAAGTTGGGTGGCAACATTTCCAAATTTTATCCTCCCTACCTCTGTTTCTTCTGTATCCCCTGCCCACATGTCATGACCTGAGACAGGAATATTTTTCAAGAATGATAAGGATTTTGGGATCGCACTAACCGTGGAATCCCACAGTTGCTATAGGACCTTGGACAAGTGTTACTTTTCTGGGTTCATATTCCTCATCTGCTATGGCATATTAACCTAATTCTGTTCACCTCATAGAAATAAATGAGAAATTGGGAGGCTGGTCGTTACAGAACAGTGGTTTTCAAAATATGGTCCCTGGGCCAGCACCATCGGCATCACTGGAAGTTGCTAGAAATGAATATTTTCTAGCCCTACCCCAGATCTACTGAATTGGAGACTCTGGTTGTGGGGTTCAGCAATCCATGTTTTTTTTGTTTGTTGTTTGTTTTTGGTTTTTTTTGTTTTTTGTTTTTTTTGAGACGGAGTCTGGCTCTTTCGCCCAGGCTGGAGTGCAGTGGCCGGATCTCAGCTCACTGCAAGCTCCGCCTCCCGGGTTCACGCCATTCTCCTGCCTCAGCCTCCCGAGTAGCTGGAACTACAGGCGCCCGCCACCTCGCCCGGCTAATTTTTTGTATTTTTTTTAGTAGAGATGGGGTTTCACCATGTTAGCCAGGATGGTCTCGATCTCCTGACTTCGTGATCCACCCACCTCGGCCTCCCAAAGTGCTGGGATTACAGGCCTGAGCCACTGCACCTGGCCAGCAATCCGTGTTTTAACAAATTTCCTGGATGATTCTGATGCATGCTCAAGTTTGAGAATCACTGGTCTATGAAGGGTAAGACCATTGGGTTTGGACTCAGAGAGTTCTGGGTTCCTCTAAAAGCATCTTAGCACTACCTTTTACTATATGGGAGGCCTTAAGCACAGCATTTTACCTCCCTGTTACTTAGTTTACTCATCTGTGAAATGGAGGTAATGATTGTATCTACCTAATAGGGTTGTTTTTGGTTTTATTTTGTTTTGTTTTGAGACAGGGTCTCACTCTGTCACCCAGGCTGGAGTGCAGTGACGCAATCTCAGCACACTGCAGCCTCCGCCTCCCAGTTCAAGCAATTCTCTCACCCAGCCTCCCTAGTAGCTGGGACTACAGGTGTGCACTACCATGCCTGACTAATTTTTGTATTTTTTTGTAGAGACGGGGTTTCACCATGTTGGCCAGTCTGGTCTCAAACTCCTGACCTCAAGTGATCCATCCACTTGGGCCTCCCAAAAGTGCTGGGATTACAGGAGTGAGCCACCGTGCCCTGCCTAACAGTGTTGTTTATTAATGTATTCATCAACATTTTTTGAGTGCCTATCATGTGACAAGCACTCTTCCAGGTTCTAGGGATGCACCAGTAAACAAAACAGACAAAAATACCTGCCCTCCACTATTCATAATAGCAAAGACTTGGAACCAACCCGAATGTCCATCAATGATAGACTGGATTAAGAAAATGTGGCACATATGCACCATGGAATACTATGCAGCCATAAAAACGGATGAGTTCATGTCCTTTGTAGGGACATGGATGAAGCTGGAAACCATCATTCTGAGCAAACTATTGCAAGGACAGAAAACCAAACACTGCATGTTCTCACTCATAGGTGGGAATTGAACAATGAGAACACTTGGACACAGGATGGGGAACATCACACACCAGGGCCTGTCGTGCAGTGGGAGGAGGGAGGAGGGATAGCATTAGGAGATATACCTAATGTAAATGACAAGTTAATGGGTGTAGCACACCAACATGACAGATGTATACATATGTAACAAACCTGCATGTTGTGCACATGTACCCTAGAACTTAAAGTATAATAATAAAAAAAGAAAAATAATGCAAGTTAGGAATAAAAAATTGGTTGTGTAGAAAATAGAAAAAAATATTTAAAAATTAAAAATTAAAGATAAAAAAGGAAAATTTAAATGCATTAATACATTTAAAAGAATAAATGTTTATATGTTAATATATAAAAAAAAAACCCTGCCTTCTTGTAGTGTATATTCTAATAAGATTTTTGAGGATTAACATAATTATACTGATGTGTAAAGTTTAGCACAACATTGGCACATATTATACACCCAGCAAATGACAGTTATTATTGTCATTTTTGAAACAGGGTCTCACTATGTCACCCAGGCTGGAGTGCAGTGGTGCAGTCATGGCTCTCTGCAGCCTCAACCTCTGGGGCTCAAACAATCCTCCCGCCTCAGCCTTCTAAGTAGCTGGGACTACAGGTGCAGTGCACAGCTGATTTTTGTATCTTTTGTGTAGAAATAGGGTTTCCCCATGTTGTCCAGGCTGGTTTTGAACTGC